GTTTCATTCCAAGTTCAATGCAAAAGCTAGAGGAACAGCCATATTAATTAACAAGAACATTTATTTCCACTCAAAGGATATTATTAGTGACCCTAATGGAAGGTATATTATTGTGGTTGGGCAGCTCTTTGCTAACCCAGTGATTTTAGTAAATGTGTATGCCCCAAATTGCGATGATAGTAGTTTTTTTAAGAAACTATTCTTTAAAATACCTAGACTTGACAATGGATTTGTTATTATGGGAGGTCTTGCTCATATAATAGCATAGTTATATCTGATCATAGTTCCATGGTACTCGAACTGGATCTTCCAAATTGACCCCCTCCGAACAGAGTTTGGAGACTCAATCCTCTTCTACTATCAGATGATCGCTTCGTTGAATTAATTTCGGACAAAATCAATTTTTTTCTAGGAACAAACACGTCCCCTGAAATCTCTAATGCCACACTGTGGGAGTCCCTTAAAGTTTACCTCATCAAATCAAGATTATTGACTCGAAATATGTTCCAACCCCAGATCTTTATAAGGAGCGTCTGCAAACTGAATACAACCTTCTAACTACTGATGAGGCAACGCGTCTTATTTTGAAATCCAGGCATAATGTCTATGAATTTGGAGACAAAGCAAACAAGCTCCTGGCCCTGCAAGCTCCTCAGACAGCTGCCGCTCGGTCAATTACTGAAATTCAGTCACATACAGGAGAGACCCTGATAGATCATGAGGACATAAATGAAGCTTTTCTGCATTTCTATTCTAACCTTTATGCCTCAGAATGTAATGAGGACCCTGAGGTCTTCTTTCAAAATGTTACTCTCTGTGTCAGAGGAACAAAACATTAAATTGAGCGCAGATGTTTCAACTTCCGAAGTTTTCCCCTCAACTAGCACCAATTATTCAGACAATGTTTAAAGAAGCACTCTCTTCAGGCTCCCTTCCTATGACTTTACGACAAGCCTCTATCTCCCAATTCCCCTACTGAATGTAGACTTTAAAGTGCTGTCTAAGGTCCTGGCCAGACGTCTGGAAAATGATTCCAGATATTATATCTCCTGATCAGACAGGATTAATCCAGAACCGACATTCGTATTCAAATTTGAGAAAACTATTTAATATGGTCCACTCTGCCCGGTCTCCAGACCCAGAGGTAGTAATATCACTCGATGCGGAAAAGGCCTTTGACCGAGTTGAATGGAGATACCTATTCCTTGCCCTCCAAAAATGTGGCTTTAAAAAATAATTAATTGCGTGGATTAGACTTCTCTACTCCTCTCCCCTGGCTGCTATAATCTCTAATAACACTTACTTCCCCCTTGGAAGAGGAACAAGACAGGGATGCCCGCTTCCCCCACTCCATTTTGCGCTAGCAATTGAGCCGTTGGCAACAACACTTCGTTTCTGTAAGGATTTCAAAGGCATTGATCGGGCAGGACAAAAGTTTAAGGTGTCCCTTTACGCGGGTGACCTGCTTTTATATGTATCCGAGCCTGCCTCATTGCTTCCCTATATCCTGGATATCCTCGATCAATTTGGGAAAGTCTCAGGTTATAAATTACATTTACAAAAGAGCTTTAAACTCTGCAGCCGATTTACTCCCCCATAGCTTTTTGCCCTTTAAAAAGAGCTCAAGATGGCTTCAAATATTTAGGAATTGAGGCCACTCGCTCTCTTCTTAGTACTTTCACTAAATACTTTACCACTCTTCTCAATAAGTGTAAAGAAGATATGAACCGCTGGGCCTCCTTACCATTATCTCTACCATAAATAAAACGTTACCTCTTATTTATCATACATGAAGAATTAATTTTCACAAATTGATTAAAGCCAATCTTAAAATGATTAAACAAACGCCTGTTTGAGACTCCTCAGTGCACACAAAAACATAACTTGGAGAAATAAATAAATACGGAAATGTTATTGATCACCCCTCGATTATGTTCTCTTGTTAAGAAATGTATTCTCATAAATGATGCGGTAAACAGAGGGACAGAATTACTTTAAACTGACGCAGTTTTGCATTTCTATAGGTTGTAGATACGAGCAGGGTTGGGTTGTAAAACAAAAATCAAGTAACTGTATTCGGTCCGCGTTACATTTGAAAAACGAGTAATCTGATTACAGTTACTTTCGTAAACCTGAAGTGAATACATTTTGGATTAATTACTGGAATCATTGGTGGAAAGATTTCCTCACAACATTTAATATTCATCACTAAAGGTACAGCCAAATCATCACAGCGCACAAAACCTATTACCGCCGCAGATGGACCAAAAAAGGGAGCGTTTGAAAACAATGTGCGGGTCCGCTCAGTGAAACAATAACAACGAAACATGGAGGAACAAAAGTCTGCGTTTAAATCGTGTGTGTGTGTGTGTAGAGGTGTGTGTGGTTAAAACACATCAGCCTGCGGTCGCTCTTTATCCTTTCTAATGATTCTGAAGCTAAACACAGTGAAGGTGGTGCGTGAAAGCCAGGCACTGCGCGCTCCTCTTCTCAGAGGCTGAGCTAACCCTCCCGCTGCCTCCTGGTGCTGCAGAGATTTCATGAAGTGAAGGAGGTTTTCCTTCTATAAAACAGCTGTGGGCAGCAGATACTGTGAGTGTCACGGACATGAATTCATAGATCAAGGCAGACTGGTGCACACTGTCTCCTGTTTTGCCAATCCGGTGCTTAAACAAATATAGCTCAACACCCCTGGCCGAAATGTCTTTAAAGGAGAAGTGTCATGGCCATTTCCACTGATCATAATTCCATTGTTGAGGTATACTAAAATAGATTTATACTGTGCATTTTTCCAAACTCACATTGGTTTCTCATACAGCATCTCTGTAAACTACTTGTATTCACTGAATTTCACTCTCTGCCTTTAACGGCTCGTTGTAGCTCCCAAAGCTCCAGCCCCCACCAGCCCCCACCCTCCCTGTGGTCGGGACGTTGTGAATCGCGCTGAGCTCCATGGAGGTGTGGTTTCCTTGTTAGCGATACATAGCGAAACACAGCCAAACTCATCCTGAGCACACACAAACTCACATCCGAAGTAAAAACAATAAGTGTGGCTTGATATTGAGTAAGAAAAAGGTTGATAAACGCTGTGAGAATGGGTCTGCAGAGAGAATTTTGCCGCGATCCCAACTGTCTGTTATCAGCCTGCAGCCAGGGAGGAGAAATCAGCAGAGCTGCCTGCTCCCTGCACACAGATGTGTGTGTGAGGAAGTCTGTGGATTGGTCAATTTGGACCAATCAGCGGGGGCTTAACGCAACGGCTCCGCGGACGTAACGGCTCCACAGATTGGTCCATTTCGTTCCGGGTACGGCTTGACATCATGCCGTCCCGGAAGAATCAAATGGACAATGACGTATCTCCTACGAGGCGTTTTGGGGAGGTATTTTCTGTGTTAGAGTTGTACTCGCTATAGGGTGTACTTTGAGGGTTTTGACTCTGCACACCGTTTCCGCATTAAACCTTCATAACACACAAGGGGACGGGTAATAACCGGAAAAGCATGACACCTCTCCTTTAAAATGAAGTCCGAGTTCGACATTTTAATTAATGTCCTGCCAACACTGGCAGGACAGAAGGCGACACGCCCTTTCTAAGCCGTGTCCCTCACTCCTCACATCCCAAGCTGCACCCCCAAAAAGTTTATTATGTTGTTACATCGTTTCAGATGTTATGTTTCAGTTGTGCTTTTGATAAGCCATTAAAACAGCAAAAACACGTTCAGTTTCCTTTTGCTTTTTGAATCTCCTGTTCACCAAAACATACCCATCTGTGATGGAAAAAGAAAGTAATCCAAAAGTATTCTAAAAGTAATCTGATTACGTTACTTTTTTAAGACACATAACTGTAACTGTATTCGGATTGCTTTCAGAGCCATGTATTCAGTAATCAGTAACTTATTACATTTACAAAGTAACCCTCCCAACCCTGGATACGAGCATGGTTTTATATACTATCATGTTTAATCATGTTTTATGCCGTTCACCAATACTTGGTGCTCGTAAAACACAGGAGGTATGGAAACTAAGAACACCAAGTGGTAAATTGTACAGCTAATATAACACAACACATTAGTTGTATTTCCTTTAACTGGAGGATTATGGATATATAGTTGCTGCAGGGGGGGGGGGGGGGTTGAGATGCACAGGCTGCAGTGGAGACGCTGCGCACAGCTGATCGACAGCTGGAACACAAACCACCAAATACAAAAAAATAATTCAGATCCAGTCGTCAGGACTCCACTCCGGAGGTATTCCCTGATCATTTCTTACAGTTTCTCATCAAGGGGGTGTCTCCTGTCCCCGGCACAAACACACTGACACACTGCCTGAGGAAGGTTAGACTCTGTGTATTTTTTTTGTCATTAACCTTTTTCGGACCACTTATTTATTTATTTTGGTGACGATCCGACCTCCATGCTGCTACTCTGGTTCAAACTGCATCCACCAAACAATATGGTTTATCTCGACCTCCCTAAAATAACCAAAATCTGACACGGTGTGAAATGTCTTTTAGCTGTTCTGTCGTCTTTTCCTGCGATCTTCTTCCTGCAGTCAGTCAGAATGAATATTAATACGGGGCGTTTCTTTGACTATTTATAGGCAAATATGGGCATTACGTGAAGCCCGCAAAAGCTGCGCCGCATTTCGAGTTGATTGTGATTTTTTAAAGGGAAACCGGTACGCAGTGTTTTATAAATCCGAAAATGTCTGTGCGTATTTATTTGCTTTGTACTACGTAAGCAACCTTCCCATGTGAATCCTACGCAAGGCTTTATAAATGAGGCCCCTGAACATCAGCAGGAGAGAACTCTTTAAAGTAGAGACACTACTGATATACACCTGAACCCATATCTAAATTTAAGAGAATAAACCCGACAATGCTCAAGTTTGTTTTTCTCATTAAATAAAAGTACAGGTTTAAAATCCTTATATAAAATAAATGTACCCCAGTGTAAGGGATAACAGTGTTAGAAATATATTGTGATGAAGTGAACACTGACCTGAGTTCTGGGGGTCTCTTTGTTCTCCTCCATGTTGCTCTCAGTGCTCCTTCTCCTGCTGTGTCTCTGAAATAAGTATTAACACTCCGGTCAACACAAAACCAATCTACAGCTAAGAAGTAGCTTAACAGCAGAGGTGGGAAGTACATTTACTCAAGTACTGTACTTAAGTACAACTATAGAGGTACTTGTACTTTACTTGAGTACATTGTATGCTACTTTTACTCCACTACATGTATGCAATACCTTTAGTTACTTTACAGATTTGGATTAATGATGTGAAATATAATCAACTCTTAAATCAGACTTTAGTTCCACCTGGAGTAAAGTCATAAGCTACCCTGCTATGAATTTCAATGAATGTCAGCCTTTGTATACTGCAGGGCCTGCAGTATACAAAGTGATTCAAACTAGCTGCACCTTTACCAGCTTTGAGAACACTTTAATGATCAATCATTATAAAACATATCATATATATTATTCTGAAATGGACCAATCTGCACAATCACTACTTTTACTTTTGCTACGTTAACTATATGTTCATGATAATTTTGTTTATTATTACTATTGGTACTTTGACTATATTGTAATGCTACTTTTACTCAAGTACAAGATCTGAGTAAAGTAGTCAGTATTATTATCAGTAGCAAAAGTACTCGGTATTATAGTAAAAGTAATCAGTATTATCAGTACTAAAAGTACTCAGTATTATCAGTAGTAAAAGTACACAGTATTATAGTAAAAGTACTCAGTATTACCCGGTGTTTCTGCTCCTCGTTGTTCTACGGTTTGTTGATGTACACCGACTAGCATTAGCCACCTAGCATGAAGCAGCTAACAGCAGACAAGGACCCGGGTGAAGAGGTGGAATTGTTCTAAAGCTCCTCTCGTCTCTTCTTCTCCTGAGAGAAACGGGTTATATTCTAATATATGATAGATAGATATTAATTAATGAAAGCTGATAGAGACTCCGACTGCAGGATGTTTTACCAGAACTGGAGACTGCCTGAGATCATGGTTGAGAGCAGAAGTAACCGGATGTGGGCCCACAGAGCATGCGCAGTAGAGTTTTCTCTTAAGCCCCACCTCCCATCTCCCGCTCTGTGGATGCATCTCACTTCGGTTAAATGCAATCCTTGGGTCCCTCATTTGCGTCGTCTCCCTGCGTCTGACCCAAGCCAGTGCGCCGGACTCTGTGCCCAATATTCCGTGTCCTCATTGGTCCTGTTTCGCCGGCTTAATACAGGTTAGTAAACTGTGCACAAATCATAATGAATGCCCCATAAGGTTCGCCTATGTAATGTGACGGTCCACTAACAGTTTAAAGTGTCTGTAGTACTGTTTACGTGTTTAAAGGTGTGAAATAATGTGTGTGTGTATTAGCATAGCTCCCCCGGGGCGGCGCCATTTTGGGGACAACGTGGTCTGACTCGGTAATAATACAAGTATGACATTATTTCTGAAGGCTCCCGCAGGCGCACACTGAATATTTCCAATACAGGCCTATAGTTATTGTGAGTTTGGAATAAATATGCACTTAATGAAAATGATAAGTTAGTTACTGTTAGCAGTGGCGGCGCCAGGGTATTTTTGTTGGGTAATCTATGGTAGGGCTAACCCATACAGTGGTGGTGCTCAAGTCAGTATTTGCAATTGAATTACATACACGCTATATCGCACCCCGTGAAACAGTGAAATGCCACACGTGAGGTTTAGATTATTTCCCTTTCTCAATCAAAATGGAACTGTATGAAATAAAACGGCACATTTGTCTTATAGTAAATAAAAAGGGATCACTGTGAACGGACGTATGATAGTACACGTTGAAGATCCAATAGGGATACTGAATGGCGGTTTCGATTGATCTCAATCACTAATGCATGATGCACACCCAACGTTTCGTTGCTCTGATTGGCTGTAGGTCTATTCAAATTGCATTCGGAGGCATTTTGATCTGACCGCGGCCGCGCTGATATTATAACGCCAGAGAATTTCCACACCTTTAGTGTATAAAACTCCCCCACTACTTAGACTATTCCTTGCACCCCTCTTCTATAAGCCCGAATGGTCTCAACCATATTGCATCAGTAACGTGTAGTGATGGGAATTATGGCTCTTTGAAGGGAGCCGGATCTTATGGCTCCGTTCCTTTCAAAGAGCCGTTCAAAAGAGCCGTTTTTTTAAAAAGGGGGCGGGGTTACTAGGTTTATCTGCGAAATAATCACCAGGATAATGATTGACTGCATTGCCAGACCTAATGTCAATAATCTGCATTGTAAACATGACACAAGGTGGCGCCATATCCATGTCATTCATGTCAGTGAATGTACTTTGAATTTACCCTCTGCATGTGTTAAGTAAATAAAGTTGCCTTGCCTTGAATGAAATTCACGCAACTCTTAATATTAGTAGTGTGTTTTTAAGTGGCGATGGAGATTATTTGTTGACCCTGCTTTAAAGGATATTTTGCCTTTACAAATGGTGCGCTTTATCACTGCCTGGGTTTTGGTTGAAGTGCATCCAAATGCTGCTGCGTTTTCGCGTTTGGCTCATTTTACATCCGAAAAACACGTCGTCTATCTGTCCAGTACCACTTGTTATGACTTCTCTCTCTCGCGTATTCCGTTAAGACCCACCCCACCTAACTCCTCGTGCTGAAACCTACAAATCAGAGTAGGGGCGGGTCTTCACAGAATACGTTTGGGGAACAAAATCAAGCTTTTTAAAAGGCGAGTGAATTTTGGCAGGCAGTGAGTGCGGACCAACTTTGATTGAACGATAAGAAGAACGGCTCTCACCAAGTACGACTCGGTTCCCCTCGTTCGTACCAAAGAGCCGTTCAAAAGAATCGGCTCGTTCGCGACCGACACATCACTAGTAACGTGCACTTGTTGTTACAGCAGGATCAGTTTGTGTGTTGTGGACACGACCCGTATATTTTCGCAATCCGTGTTCTCAACATTTTGCATTTAGCTTATTATTTAATTGAATTTGCTTACTTTAACATCACTTTTCATGGTGGGGCTAAAGTGGGGCTAAGCCATTTCTTGGTATGGCTGTAGCCTACCCCAGCCATACCCTGGCGCCGCCACTGACTGTTAGTAAAAACAGTAAGGTTAATACTGGGATGTTTCTTACACTAATGGCGCGTTTCCACTGCAGGGCGGAGCCCAAACCCCCAGGAAGTGCGCTGGACTCTGATGAAAATATTCGTGCTGGCCAAACGGCGGTACTACACTTCCTTTTGGTTGCCAGGCCCGGAAACACTTTTTCCCATTGACTTACATGGGGAAAGAGTGGTCTGTAAATCGTTGGATAATTTTTTTTAAACTAAATAAACTACCCAGTATGAACACTTGTATAGCCCTTATTAAAAACATTCGTTCCTCAAGTTGTAAAAATGTGCTAATAACGTTATTCTGAGAGTTATTTCCCTCTGCATTATGAACGCGCATCTAACCCACGGGACCGCGCCGCCCGGCACGTTCATGTTACGTGTTCAGCACTAGTACATGCGTTTATCTTTACCCATGGATGTACAATAAGAACGGACCCATATCGCCTTACTGCCAGCCCACGGAGCTGTAATAATGGATATATTGCACATGTTTGCTGTAATTCATCATTTGTAAAATATTATACTACATGGGCTGTATGATTAAATCTTGTACCGTAAATGTTGTATTAAATAAAGTTAATATTACCGACATAGATTAACGTCACTGTAGCTTCTTATTGCACTAAGAAGCTTATTGCACTGTGTATATATATATATATATACAGTGCAATAATTCTTTCATGCTAAATGAAGCTCTGTTGCTTGGATATCACTAGATCCTGTTACAGCGTAATATAAAAGTACATAACGATTGATGTGTAAATTAGCATAATTACTAGCTAACCGCTAGCTGCTAACTGCCGCCTCGTTAATATCAAATCTATCATAACAAACCATTACCATGCTGTCATGAACGTGCGGTGCTGTTACGTGTACGCAAATTGACGTGCTTGATGTGAACGAGCATTTTGGGGGGCATGGTTAAAGTTGCGCATGCGCTATGAGCGCACATACGGGTACTTCTCAGGCATGCCGGGTAATCTGTGACGTTTCGCTCTCTCAAAAGTTGGGCCATTTTATCATCATGCGCGAATGAGCAACTCTCATAGGAATGAATGAGGCCCCGCCTCCCACGCTGTATCCAGTTCTTATTATACATCCATGGCGGAGCCCCGTTTAAGAGAGCTGTGACGTCAGCGGCCCGTTTTTGGTTGCGTTTCCACTTGGCCTAGTACCGGCTAGCGGGTCCTAATTCACAGTTTTTCTGGCCCCATAAAATCGTGGTTCTAGGGCAACAACCAGGCTGAGTCGGGCTGAGTATAATAAACTAGAGAGAGAATCGCTGGCAAGGGGGCTACAACTACAACAAAATTAACATATTTGACCGTGATTTAATTGTAATACACGTTTCAAAATTATGCCAAAGTAACAACATACTGATACCGGTTAGTAAAAACCATGAATTAATGCTTTGACAAGTCTGCAGACAGACAGCAGGCGAAAAACCTTTTAAAATGCGTGTTGTCTAACCCCTAGATTCCACCGGGTCCGGCTGCGCCGCGTTACGGCTGTGCCGCGGTTTTGGTCCGGCGTCATACCCTACCAGGCGCGTTTCAGAAGCATTTCAGAAGCGGAGCGTCTTGCCTGCCGGCTCGCAGTTTTTGTTGATTTGGGCATATTTCCTGGACAGGCTACTTTGTACAGACAAAGTTAATAATAACTGTAATATTCGAGTTATAAACGACATGAATCAAAGATGTGTTGCTGTATTTTAGTGGTAAAAAAATGCATTCATCATCATAATTATTCTATATATATAATTTACACAGTGCCTGTAAACCGGAGGAGAACGCTGGCATTTCTACTCCTACTCCTCCTACTTGAAAAACTACAGAGGGATAGGGTCTGCAAAATTAGTTTGTGTGTGTGTGTATGTATATATATATATATATATATATATATATATATATGCTCTGAACGTTTCACTTCCTGCCTGACCGACATTACGTTACGGCTGCGTCGCGTCAAAAATAGGATTCATCCTAATTTTAGAGGAGCCCTGCGCCGAGACGCTTCTGGGACGCTTCTGAGCCGTAACGCGCCGCGTGTGGTGGAATAGCACCCATTGACTAGAGTGGCCGCGGCGCAGCCGCAACGCGGCCGTAACGCGCGGCAGACGGACCCGGTGGAATCTAGGGGTAATGTAGATCGGCTAAGCTAACGCAGTGTATGCTCCGACCGTCCACACTCACAACAACGGCCTATATAGACATAAATAAACCAGCGACTGTATTCGCCATGACACAGACAGTCTGTGGTTTGTACTTGTTAAATTTTTGTCTAGTTTCTGAACAGATATGAAGAGCTGTGAGCTTGAGTGCTAACAGCTAACGGCTGTGTTGTTTTTCTGGGATTCTCATTGAAGATGACGTCACGGCTCCGCCTACACTGTTACTATAGTTACTACCCCAGTTCCTAAACTGTAATGGAAACGCAGCATAAAGTGAGCCGGTCCTAACAAGGCCTAACGAGGCCGAGCCATACCGAGCGAGGCCGTGTAGTGAAAACGCGCCATAAGACTAATACTGAGTGTTAACATAATTATTATTCTCCAGTTTATGCATTTTAGTAACATGCAATTAATGGCAGAAGTTCAATTGTCACATGACAGTTTAAATGGGTCATGATGCTACTTTTGAGTTGCAGTAAATAGAAAAGAGTAACTGGCAGTGAATGTATGTTAGTGGAACTGTGTCAGGAAAGTGAACGGTTTATTAAGGAATGTAAATGAAAACTGAAATGCATATTAGAGAGTTAATATGTTTAAATTATTTTGTTGTGTAATAGAACAACCAGAGAAGCGATCTGGAAGGAAACATAACACACCGTGTCCTCATTGCTCTGTTTCACCTGCTTAATACAGGTATCATCACTGCTCAGGAAGTGAAACTCAGACACTCGCTGCCACTGAGAGGTGCTGGAGGGGAGTCGACTAAACATCCAGCAGAGAATCCAGGACAGAGAGAAGGAGGTGAAGCTGCTTCAGCAGGAGGTGGAGGCCGTCAATGGCTCTGCTGATAAAGCAGTGGAGGACAGTGAGAAGATGTTCACTGAGCTGATCCGTCTCATGGAGAAAAGAAGCTCTGATGTGAAGCAGCAGGTCAGATC